CTACTTAAAAGTATGCATATTTAAAATGTGACTTATTCTGAATGGAAGTATCTACAAGAATAAAAATGAAAGGAATGCATCCTACTACAGTTCCCAAGCAGAGATAACAATATTTGCAACAATATAATGATGAAGAACCATTTTCCATCGCAATGGCAATGCACCCAACGTTGGGAAAGATCGCAGCATACCCTTGATGTTGATTCCGAATCCCTATAAACGTATACAACATAAGCAACCTAATTAATACAACACTAAAGAAGTGTAGTATTTTGGCTCTGGGCACCATACTTTAAAAAATAAAGGCCATGCTAAGACTCGTTTTTGCTTAAAAAATAGCTTCAAGCATACAGGGCAATAATTGCCCTTCACAAACAATCTGCCACAAAAATCTCTGTTACAAAATTAATCCATTCAGAGGTTTTGTTGTTTAGAGGTTCAATATCAAATCTAAAACATGCATAAACGTGATATTCAAATTCTAAACAAGGTTGAGACAAATTCTAAACAAGGTTAACACCAACATACATAACATATATAAACAAGGTTAAGTCAAATTCTAGCAAACTAAAGCACCATCACGAGATTCCTCGTTGCCTAAACCTCCTCAATACCAGATGTAATTGCCAAATGAGTGGATTGGTGGTTTTGGGTTTGGCCCGTGAAAAGTGACACATGTATATTCCTCACAAAGTGCCAAACGAGCTTTAGACAGAAGCTTTACTTTGAGCCAGTCGAGGAGGCAGAAAGTCTTATCCTTTCCAACTCYTGGTGATGAACCTCGTGAAAACGCAAAACATTCTAACTGTTGCTTTTTGTTCCTATCAACGCTTTGTCTAGCAGTCACATATTCCTTAAAAAATCTGCTTTGATTCATCGAATCTCGTAGTAGAAGGCGGCATCAATAATCTTTAAGAACTTTGCCACTCTGTGTTGCTTTCTTCTGTTTGAACACCCTAGCTGCAGAAATCTTATATCCACTATCCTTAGCATACCCATCTCCACAAAACTCTGCTGGTATACTGTAGAAACAAAGAAACGAAGAAGCTAAGCAAACATGGTTACACAAGATAACCGAAGCTAATATGGTTCCAGCATAAAGAGATACACAAACTTACTGAACCCTTGCCGTAGGACAGTTTGGAAATCCTATCAGAATGATTGGGTTCCACAGAAAAGTGCTGTATGTTGTCTGTGCACTTCCGAAAAGTTACGCAATCATAACAAGCTAAACAAAAGTGAAGGAAGGAGAGATCCAAAGCTAAACAACTTACAAGCAAAGGAAGTGACGAATTTGGGATTGCGGTTGATTCTGGCAACGGTAAGAGCACAGATGACGGTTTCCTCATTGAGGCACATGGATTTGGATTTGACCCGATCCATTGTTCGATTTCACCACAAGAATGAGAATCTTCCGAACCTTCAACAACGGTTAATTCATCTATGAACCATTCAGTAACATTGTTTAGTCATTTCATGTCGATCTCGTTTGTACTCTCGGAAAGATTCCTGTATGGAGTGAGGATTTCCATGGAAGCAAGCTCCATAGACAAGCTCACCTTATTCTCAACAAAGACTTTTCATTTTCGTTGAGAATAAGGTGAATATGTGTCTTACCTTAGTCGTATACGAATATGTGTCTTTATACCACTCTGTTGCCATTTTTATTTACCTTCGTTTATGGTTG